CCATGGGTTGAAATCCCAGTTCCTCTCCTACTGGGTGTCTCTGGGCGAGTCCTCCCAGCTCTCCGGGTGAATTTCCTCACCTGTAAAATTCACAATGAAACCAAGTCCCGCTCGGTCCAAGCTTAAGATGAGCTATCCGGTAAGGATCCTGGCAGCTCCTGGGCACCCCCCATGGCCTCTACCCCATCCTCAGACGGCACATTTTGTGCTGCTGGGAATGTTAACAGTGACATGACCCCACATTTAATGCCATGTGCTTCACACAGGCTACCTCTGGCTCCCACGCTCTGGAGGACAGAGCTGGCTACTGTCCCCAACGCTCTCCTGGGACAAATTACAGTGTATTTAGCCTGATAGCCTGAGTACTGGCCACTCCTGGACGGGAAGGGGTCTTAGTTCTGGAGCGGACCCTCTTGGGCATCTGCCACGTGCCAGGCTCAATGCTTGGCTCGTCCCTGGAGTCCTGTGGGGCAGGGCTGATGACCCTGGTTGTGCAGATGGGGAGACAGGCTCGTTGCCCCCCTGTCTCTAAGGGGTGCAGGGACCCTTGGCAGTTGGCAGGCCCGGGGCCGGGCTCTGGGCTGCGCGGTTTGCGTGGCTGGCGCGCCCTCTAGCGGCCGCCCTGCGCGCCGCGCGGGGACTGGTGCAGGAAGTCCCTTCTCCCAGCCGGCCGCGGTCCCGCCTGCTGCGGCTCCACCTCCGCCAAGCTGCGAGCGGTCTGGCCCTGCCAGTCAGTCCTCACGGCTTCGCAGGGACGGCGCTGCACGCCCCGCCCCGATTACCATGGAGACCGCTTGTACACAGTTTCCCCTTTCTTCCGTCTGGTTCTGGGGTCCTGCGGCCGCCTAGGCGGGAGCCCGCCGGGGTGAGGCGGGGCCGGGCACCCATGAACAGCGGGGTCCCGGCCACCCTGGCCGTGCGGAGAGTGAAATTCTTTGGCCGGCACGGTGGGGAGGTGAGGCCCAGCGGGCGCTGCCCAGGCTCCTGGCTTTGGGTGCAGAGTGGTTCCTGGTTCTGTGTCGTGGGGGTTCCAGAATGTTCTCTGGGCACTAGCTCAGGACATTGAGTCTAGAGTGGACTTTGATAACCTAAGAAGGCTCAGAATACGCCCTCGGCCTCCGTGCTGGGCCCCAGCTCCAAAGCAGCTTTAGGTTCTAAGCTCTGCCCCTAGAAAGGCTCTGGGCTTTGGGATCTGCCTGGAGATGGGGCTCAAGGCTCCCTGTTGACTCTGGAGTTTTCTGTGGCTCTGGCTCTAAAGTGAACTCAGGGCTTAGAGTAGATTCTGGACTCTCAGTTGTCAGCTGCAACTCTGGAATTGGCTCTTGGCTCTCGGGTTCCAGGCTCTGGTTCCAAAGAAGGCTCCTGCCTCCAACTGCAGCTCGGGTTCTACGGGCTCCAGAGAGGGCCCAGAGGGGCCTGGGTTCTGGGCTCTGGTGGTGGAGTGAGGCTTGAAGTCAAGCTGCAATCCCGGGCTCTGGGGGCAGTGTTTAGGGGTCTGGGATGAGCCGGCAGGGGTTTCTTCCTCAGAATGGGGCTGCTTTTGTGCTGTTTCCAGGTCAACTCCTCTGCCTTCTCCCCCGATGGCCAGATGCTGCTCACAGCCTCAGAGGATGGCTGCGTGTATGGTTGGGAGACCCGGAGTGGGCAGCTGCTGTGGAGGCTGGGTGGCCACACAGGTGGGGCTCCCAAGCCTGGCTGGGAAGACCGAGGCACAAGGGTCTGGCATTCTGCAGAGTTGACCGCAGTGACCACTGATGAGCTGGGCACGGGTGCAAGGCGGGGCTGGGTAGGGCGGGACACGGGACGTGATACCTGGGCTCTGGGGCTCAGACTCTAACAGGCCTTGACCCAGATCCTTCTTTAAAAAACAAAACTGTGATGTAACATACTGTGGTATCCTTGTGCGTGTGTGTGACAGTCTTGCTCTGTTGCCCAGGCTGGAGTGCAGTGGCGCAATCTCTGCTCACTGTAACCTCCTCCTCCCGGGTTCCAATGATTCTCCTGTCTCTCAGCCTCCCAAGTAGTTGGGACTACAGGTGCACACCACCACATCCAGCATTTTTTTTTTTTTGAGTTGGAGTCTGGCTCTTGTTGCCCAGGCTGGAGTGCAATGGTGTGATCTCAGCTGCAACCTCTGCCTCCTGGGTTCAAGCAATTCTCCTGCCTCAGCCTCCAGAGCAGCTGGGATTACAGGCATGAGCCACTATGCCCAGCTAATTTTGTATTTTTAGTAGAGATGGGTTTTTGCCATGTTGGTCAGGCGGGATCTGCCCGCCTTCGCCTCCCAAAGTGCTGAGATTACAGGCATGAGCCACCATGCCCCGCCCTTACTACTGTTTTGACTGTGATCTTGGTTAAGCCCTGTCACCTCCCTGAGCCATTTCCACTGGCATGATGCAAGCAAAGTCCCTAGCACCCAGTGAGGACCCAGTAGACCTAACTATTATAATTATTATTCAGGAGACAGAGAAAAAAAAATCAGGCAATTACAGTCTGGTGAATGCTGCAGAGAGGGAAAATTGGACTGGGAGCTCAGACGAGGCAATGAACCTAGGCAGGGGTTGTTAGGGCAAGTTTCTGGGAGGTACCTACGTTTGACTTGGGTACTGATGATTTTTCAGATGAGCACGTTGAGGTTGGGTGTTCCAAGGTTGACAGCCCAGCCAAGGCATGGAAATCCAGGCATTTCTGGGAGGCTGGAGTTTGGGTGAGGGGAGGCTAGTGACGAGGCTGGAGAAATTAGCAAGGATTGGACTGAGTGGGCAGGAGTGGCGGGCAGTGCCCTGTCCCGTGTTCACCTGCCCAGGCCCAGTGAAGTTCTGCCGCTTCTCCCCCAATGGCCACCTCTTCGCCAGCGCCTCCTGTGACCACACTGTCCGTCTGTGGGATGTGGCAAGAGCCGAATGTCTGCAGGTCCTGAAGGGTGAGTGAGCTGGGAGCCAAGCAGCCGGGCCCGCGTTCCCTTTCAGACGGTGCTGTCTGTCCTGTGTCATGTCACCTTTCCTCCTTCCCTGACCCCGGGCTGGTGCCTACAGGTCACCAACGGAGCGTGGAGACGGTCAGCTTTAGCCCTGACTCGAAGCAGCTGGCATCAGGTGGCTGGGACAAGCGGGTGATGATCTGGGAAGTGCAGGTAAGTAGAGGGCTGGGGCCCCACCCGCCTGGGATCCCAGGACCAGTTCCAGAGAGGATGTCACCAGTCTTGTCCTCCCAGCTCAAACCCTCCACTGGTTCCCCATGCCACAGCAGGCAACCAAGTCTCTCCCCCAGGCGCCTCTCCAGGCCTGCCTGCACACAGCAGCCCTCGCACCTCAGGCTTTTTGCACGAGGTCCCCGTTGCCTGGACTCGTGTCAAGGCCCAGGTAGCCGCTGCCTCCGCTGCCTCCTGAAGCTCAGGGCTGTCTCTAGTCTGGCCAGGTGCTGCGCCTCTTAGTCGGGCACCGTGATTCCGTGCAGAGCAGCGACTTCTCACCCACGGTGAACTGTCTGGTGAGCCTCCCCTCTACCCTGGGCCCCACCACGGTGGCCCCATACCCACTTGGACCTGAGCGGTGGGGAGGGGATGGACTCCAGGTCCCGCCTAGATGCAGAGTGGGTTGGAGGCGCTGGCTGGGCCAGACTGACAGGAGCTGCCTGCAGGCCACTGGGTCCTGGGACTCCACCATACGCATCTGGGACCTGCGGGCAGGGACCCCAGCAGTCTCCCATCAGGCGCTAGAAGGACACAGTGGCAACATCAGCTGCCTGTGCTACTCAGCTTCTGGCCTCTTGGTAAGTGGGGTGTCCCGGGTTCCAGGCTGGTCCCTTGCTGGCAGCCAGGCCCTTAAGAAGGGCCCCAGGCCACTTACGGGCCCAGTGAGCTCACAGGCCCCCAACCCTGGGGATCAGAGCTATCTGCTCTCCAGGCCTCTGGCTCCTGGGACAAGACCATCCACATCTGGAAGCCCATGACCAGCAGCCTGCTTGTCCAGCTGAAGGGCCACGTCACCTGGGTGAAGAGTGTCGCCTTCTCTCCGGACGAGCTGAGGCTGGTCAGCGCCGGATACTCCCGCATGGTAACCACCCCTGGCCTGTCCGGATCCCACCCCCTCATCCTACCCGCGAGGAGCCCTCAGCACTGACTCCAGAAATGTCCACATCCCCACTTTCCCTAGCTAGGAGGAGGCAAAGGCAGGTCCCAGGTGCCAGCCTCTCCACCTAATAGCACCAAGGTCGGGCTGGCCCACTGGTAGCTGCATTGACATTTCTATGACCCAAATGGCATCAGGCAAAAGGGAACTCCCGCAATGAAATGACAAAGGCAGGCCGCAAACAAAACCTACACCAAGAGGTGGCTCACACCTGTAATCCCAGCACTTTGGGAGGTGGTGGTGGGTAGATCAAGCAAAGCCCCTATCGAAAAAATTTTGTCTGGGACTTTCCCAGAGATGGTTTCAGATGCCACACTGGCCTGCTGAGGCTTCCTCCCGCCCTCCTTTAACAGGTCAAAGTCTGGGACTGCAACACAGGCAAGTGCCTTGAGACCCTGAAGGTAAGGTGTGGGGCAGCGGATTGAGGGAGCAGGGACAGATTTTTCCCGAGGCAGGACATGCCCTGAGCCCCACCCTCTACTCTTGGCAGGGAGTCCTGGATGTGGCCCACACCTGTGCCTTCACCCCAGATGGGAAAATCTTGGTGTCTGGAGCTGCCGATCAGACTAGACGTCAAGCATCCCATACAACCACATCACCTAGGGCCCCCCAAACCTAACACCACCTCGGATGGCGCTGACCACTTCCTGCAGCAGCACACAGGCATGTTGCTTCTCACCACAGGCCCACAGTGACTGTGCCGGCATCCCAACAGATCCCCATGGCCAGGGGTATCCTGTTCCCCACCCACCACCAAGAGCGACCAACAGCTGTAGGATGCTGGTTGGAACCCATCAGACACCTGGTACCCAGAACCAGACCCGCCTCCACCCCCAACCCCATCAGTGGAAGTGCCAGGAAACAAAGCAGTCTCAAGCTAGCTGTGCTTTATTGACAGCGCACCACTCAGGCCTTGACCGCGTACTTCCGCAGCGGGTACAGCCGCTCCTTCCGCTGCTGCTTCTTGGTCTTTAGGTTCTCTTCGTGCTTGTTGAGCCGGCGGCGCATGGCGCGCGTCTTCTTCGGCCGCAGATCCAGGGGTTTGTATTTCTTGCCCTGGAGACAGAAGGCAGGGTGAATCTGAGGACCCAGGGTGAGGAGCTACTGCAGCAGCTAAGGGGGCTTGGAAGGGCAGAACCAGGGTTCTGACGCTGAGGAAATGCCAAGGGAGACAGGAGGGCCATCCAGAGCCACTCGGGAGGAGGCTGCCTGCCCCCATGGGACTGCCAGCAGGCCACACATTATCACTAGCTCAGTACCCAAAATCCAAGGCTAGTGGGAACATCCTCATTTCATGAAAGCCTGCTGACCTACTGGGCTGAGTGCCCAAGTCTTGGCAAAGCTGTGGAAGAGTAGAGACTTGCACCTCAGTCAGATGACTCCCAACTCAGTGTTCTCACTGCCTGATTCCCAGTCACAAGGACAAAGTCACATGACAACCCAGTAACAGATGCGTAGCACCCACCAAGCCCCACGGGTGGTCACTGCTACCTCGGCTCTGGTTAGCAAGACTGTGCCGGGGGCTGAGGCTGTGCTCCGTCCATTTGTCTGCGGGGCCTGCCAGGTGCTGCCTGTGAAGGCCCCGCCTCAGAGGCCTGGCTGCCCAAGGCCACTCACCACGAGGGGCAAAGCCCTGCCCCCTTCATGCTTTGGGGCCACTGCCCACAGCTGTCACAGTGCCATCATCTGTCTTTCCATCTCTGGCTTCCACTCCCGCTCCACTTGCTCTCCATCGGGGGCTTCTAGACCACAGTGGCTCCCACTGGAATCTCCTGTGAGTTCTGTAAAGGTCCCCTGGGCCCCCTTTAGGACTGGGCCCTCTCCTGAGAGCTGACTTAGCAAAGAATCTGACCCAGTCCCTGCGCAGGGGGCCCAGCCCAGTGGAATAACAAATGGCCCATGCTGCAGATGAGAGATGAAGGAAGGAGGCTCTTAAAGATGGGCAAGGGCCGGGCGCGGTGGCTCAAGCCTGTAATCCCAGCACTTTGGGAGGCCGAGGCAGGTGGATCACAAGGTCGAGAGATCGAGACCATCCTGGTCAACATGGTGAAACTCCGTCTCTACTAAAAATACAAAAAATTAGCTGGGCATGGTGGCACGTGCCTGTAATCCCAGCTACTCAGGAGGCTGAGGCAGGAGAATTGCCTGAACCCAGGAGGCGGAGGTTGCGGTGAGCCGAGATCGCGCCATTGCACTCCAGCCTGGGTAACAAGAGCGAAACTCCGTCTCAAAAAAAAAAAAAAAAAAAAAAAAGATGGGCAATACCCTCAAAGGCAAGAACCGTGGGTGCCAGGGTAAAGGGTATGTGAGGCATCCCTGCCCTGAGCTGGGATTCTGAGGTCAGAGGGCCCAGGCCCCTGCAGGCGGGCAGAGAACTGCAAAAAAATCCCTGGATGATGAGGGCCAGCCCTGGAGGGTACTTGGAGGCAGGAAGGTCTTTTTTAATATAATTAATTAATTTTTTGAGATGGAGTTTCACTCTTGTTACCCAGGCTGGAGTGCAATGGCGCAATCTTGGCTTACCGAAACCTCCCCCTCCTGGGTTCAAGCAATTCTCATGCCTCAGCCTCTGGAGTAGCTGGGACTACAGGTGTGTACCACTATGCCCGGCTAATTTTTGTATTTTTAGTAGAGACGGGGCATCACCATGCTGACCAGGATGGTCTCAATCTCTTGACCTCGTGATTCACCCGCCTCGGCCTCCCAAAGTGCTGGGATTATAGGCATAAGCTACCACGCCCGGCCACAGGAAGGTCTTTGTCCCTCCACATCCCTCATTCCTGCTGGCACTGGCTGGGCATTCGTCCTTTTCACATTCGCTAAGCCCCTAGAGCTCTGCTGTCCAACCAAGCAGCCACTAGACACACGTAACTGTCACATTAAAGATTTACTTTCGCCACACACATGCCAGTGTCTCCTGAACAGCAAACACAGCTACACTATGCCCCCCCCCCTTTTTTTTAGACGGAGTTTCCCTCTTGTTACCCAGGCTGGAGTGCAATGGCGCGATCTCGGCTCACCACAACCTCTGCCTCCTGGGCTCAGACAATTCTCCTGCCTCAGCCTCCTGAGTAGCTGGGATTACAGGCACGTGCCACCACGCCCAGCTAATTTTTTGTATTTTTAGTAGAGACGGGGTTTCACCATGTCGACCAGGATGGTCTCGATCTCTCGACCTCGTGATCCACCCACCTCGGCCTCCCAAAGTGCTGGGATTACAAGCTTGAGCCACCGCGCCCGGCCCCTTTTCATTTTTTTGAGATGAGGCCTCACTATGTTGCCCAGGCTGCACTTTAACTCCTCCTGCCTCGGCCTCCCAGTGCTGGGGTTATAGGCCTGCGGCACTGCATCAGCTATGGCTGCTTTTCCATGTGTCAGACCAAGTTATTCAAACACTAATTTGGGTAGTGATGCAGAACCATTTTGCAGATGAAATTAAAGGCCCTAATCAGCTAACTTTAAGGGAGATTATCCTGGGCAATCTGAGAGGCCTGATCCAATCAGCCAAAAGCCTTAAAAGCAGGGCTGAGGCCGGGCGCGGTGGCTCAAGCCTGTAATCCCAGCACTTTGGGAGGCCGAGGCGGGTGGATCACGAGGTCGAGAGTTCGAGACCATCCTGGTCGACATGGTGAAACCCCGTCTCTACTAAAAATACAAAAAATCAGCTGGGCATGGTGGCGTGTGCCTGTAATCCCAGCTACTCAGGAGGCTGAGGCAGGAGAATTGCCTGAACCCAGGAGGCGGAGGTTGCGGTGAGCCGAGATCGTGCCATTGCACTCCAGCCTGGGTAACAAGAGCAAAACTCTGTCTCAAAAAAAAAAAAAAAAAAAAGCAGGGCTGAGGCTCCCTCCAAGTCCCCCCTGGGAAGCGCAGCTTCAACCTGGGCCCTGAGTTCAGCCAGCCCCCACAATCACCTAAACCAGTTCTTCAGAATACACTGGATATGTGCGTACACACTATCTCCCACTAGTTTAATTTCACTGCTTGAACCCTAATAAGGCAAATGTTAAGGACAAGACCAAATAAAGCTTATCAAAATTTGAGATTAAGGGGGCAGGGGCTAGACACCTGTGCACACATCTCAGGAACACTCAAGCCAGCCCTCCGCAAGGCAGTTTGGAACCGGGGCTCACGATGCCACTGACTGTGGGTGTCTAAGCCCCAGGGCCCTCATCTGAAAAATGAGCACGGCAGGTGCCTGGCAGGGACTGACACCCAGTGCTAGTAAGAGGCAGTGAAAACCTTCAACAGCCAGTCCCATCACTCCCAAGCCGCTCAACTGGGAAAGCTGGATTCAAAACCCCAGCCTCCAGTCAAGACACCCTAAGCCCAACGAATTCTTGACATCTGCAGCCCAAGGAAGCGCGGTCTGCAGAACTATGCGCCAGTGCAAGACGCTGGTCAAAGGGTGAACCCAAGGGGGTAGGGGAGGGATAGTGGGGGGTGGAAAGGTTGGGGAGACATTGGGAGAAATGCCTGATGTAGGTGAAGGGGGGATGGAGGCAGCAAACCACCATGGCATGTGTGTACCTATACAACAATCCTACGAGATCTGCACATGTACCCCAGAACTTAAAGTGCAATTAAAAAAAAAAAAGATGAACCCAGCAACAAACTGGGAAGTCCAACCACTCTCCACCCCAGGCACCAAGGAAAACCTCTTTACCATGCCCCGTGGCCAGGGACAGCTAACACTTGGCTTCCTGCAGCCAACCCTCCCTATGCCCCGGCAGACTCACCTTGTAGAATTTCCTGAGGTTTTCTTTCTGAGTCTGATTAATAACTGTGAGAACACGGGCAATAGATTTGCGGACGACTCGGCTACAAAACAGAGAGGTCAGTGAGGATGGGGAAGACGCACAGCACTTCCCAAGGCTCAGGATCCACACACACAGGGCAGGGACAGCTAGAGCCGACCCTATCAGCCTATCCATATTCACTCAGGAGGAAGGCATTCTGGAAGTGAGGTCTGAGGAGGGAAAGAGGGACGTGGGATGGGCACTCCAGGAATGCGGACAGGGAATCCAGCACTGTTGAGCTGTGAAGTGTCGGTTGAGACAGCAGAGAAGGCTTTATGAGGAAGTAAGTGCAGGCTCGAGAAATGGGGCAGATCAGGGAAAGACCTTCATTCCCAGAACACGGATTTATCCCGAGGGCTATGAAGACCCAACCAGTGCCAATCTCAGTGAGCTGATGGGAGGGAATCATGTCACAAACCAGGCAATCAGGCCAGCTTAAAGAATCGCAGGAAAAATTAGACCTTTGCAAAGTAGAATCAGTACAAGCTAGGGACTGAAGCAAGCAACAGGCTGGGGAGAATCTTGTAGTCAGGTCGGGATGAGGGCGGATGGCTGGTCAACATGGCTCCTGAGGATTCAGTGTGCAACTCTGCTCATTCAATCCTCTCACCTTGCCCCGCTAAGGTTGGGGGAAAGGAGGACAGCTGCCTTTTTTGGAGACAGGATCTCATCTCTGTCAACCAGGCTAAAGAGCAGTGGCCCCATTATAGCCTCAAACTCTGGGCTCAAGTGATCCTCCTGCCTCAGCCACCACGGTAGCTGGGACTACAGGCCTGCACCGCACCCAGCTAATTATTTTGATGAAGTGGACTTTGGACGGGTTGATGAACCCCAAACCCATGTTCCTTTCAAAAGCCTCCTGGACTCTCAGTCATGTAAAACAACTGACACTGCCACTCACGGGTGCAAGCCACCCACCTACCAAGAGGGAAAGGTGAATTAAAAAGTCAAGTGTAGTGGGAGGCGGAAGGAAAGGGTCCAGGTAGGCTTTGAAGGCAGCATTAAGATGGGTCTCCGAGAATGCACTCCAGGCACAAAGACCGCAAGGTCAGGGCGGGTAAGGGGCTACACACAGCGGGTCTCCCATGCTCCCCGGGATTCGCTGAGTGGGCACCTAAGCGGCCACCTCGAGTCAACTTTGAAATCCTCCGATGATCCCGAGGCACACGTGCTCCCCACCCGCGAGGCCTGTGATCCGGCTCTCACTTACATCTTAGAGAGCTTGGAGGCCGCGCCGCCCGTCACTTTGGCGACTCGCAGCTGGGACAGCTCCACCTTCAGGTCGTCCAGCTGTTTCAGCAGCTCCTCCTTCTTCTTCCCGCGAAGGTCTCGAGCCTTTATCTTGGCCTGCGCGCAAGAGGACGTGGGGTTCACCCAGGCCGCGGGGCCATGTCCCCTCCACCTGTGCTGTGGCCAGCCCCAGAAGGCGTGCGACTCGCCCTCGACCACATGTGCGCTGGAGCCCCGGCCAGGGCTCAGGGCCGTTTCCCCCACCGGCCGTGCCTCGGGCAGAGTAACCGAGGACCCGGCCGCGCGCCTTTTCGGACGCCAAGCCTAGCAGAGAAGGGAAGAGGCGAACTGTGGCGACGCGAGACCATTCAGCAAGGCGCTCTACAGGCCCAGCTGGCAGACGGAAACCGGGGGCTCGGCCCACACCACCTACTCCAACCCCCGCGCCTCACAGCACTCGGATGGCGCCCGATTCTGCCGCTCTCACCATCGCTGCACAGGCCGCCGCTACCGCCGCCGCCGCCGCCGCCGCCGGTCGCTCCGAAAGAAAGAGGAAGTAGGCGGGGCTGACCTCGGCAACTACTGCCGGGTGGCGGCGGGCGCGGCCAATAGCGCCGCAGCGGGGGAGCCCCGTCTCCGCCCCGTCTTCCCCGCCTCGAAGGAGTGTCGTGGTACTCGCCCGCCCGCCCGGGAGAAGCTGGAGCTCGCCCCTTGGTGCCTGCCTTACTCTGTAACTAATGCATCTGCTCTGGCCCTGTGTTGAGCCAGTCTCGAGCAAATAATCTTCCTAGGGAACCCAGTTTTAATCCGTAGCATCTGGAAATGGAGCATTTGGAATTGAAAAGACTGCTTCATATCCAACTATTGATTTACTCGGCACTTTTTTCCCTGAGTCTTTGTGGTATATGATATACTATTCCTCTGGGGGCCTGCCCAACATGTATGGTGCTTGCCATAACAGTTTTAGCTGTGCATAAGTATTGATTTCCTCAGAGGGATACTAAACCACTTTTTACAACTTAAACTGGAAAAATAGTAAAACCTAGGAAATAATAGAAACACTTTCTTAGACGCCTTCTTATTACATATTTGTTTTAAATCTTTGGTTCACAGCCCTTTTTTTGTTTTTATGCTCTCTTTAAGTCAACATAGTACTACGTAGCATTTCTTTATTGATGCTAATTTCAAAATTGAGACTGTATTCTGTATTATTTATTGACCATCCCATTATTTTCTCAAAAAACATACAAGATAGTAAAATAAATGATTTTTAAAGATTATTTGACTCCTTCAAATATTGTTGTAAGAGAATGTCACTTCTCGGCCCGCGGCCTCTGGGTAAGACTTTTATAGACTTAGGTTTGCCATAATGTGATAGCTTTTTGTTTCTAGTTCTTTACGTTATTCACTTGACAATTTTAGATGAATATTTCTCTCATGGATATGTTCTTTTATTTTATTTTATTTTATTTCTATTTTTGAGTATGGAGTTTTTTGCTCTGTTGCCCGGGCGGTGAGTGCAATGGCAAGGACTCGAGATCCAGCTCACTAGTAACCATTCCGCCGCCCGAGGATGTTCTTCAAGCATTCTCCTGACTCACAGCCTCCAAGTAGCTGGATTACAGGCATGTGCGTCACCACGCCGGCTACATTTCTTTGTTTTGTCATTTTTAGTAGAGATGGGCGTTCTCTCATGTTGGGCAGCCGTAGCCTGCTCTTGAACTCCTTGTGACCTCAAGTGATCTGCCTGCCTTGCGCCTCCCAAAGTTCCCAAAGTGCTGGGATGGATTACAGGCGGTGGCTGAGCCCACCACCACCACACTCTGCCCCCACAGATGTTCTTATATGAGATATGGCGGAACAGCGTGACTGTGACTGACAGAACAGATGGGGTCTGTGGGAGGGATCTATATATGAGAATACCCTTCCTTAGGTAGAACTGATGCAGCCCCAGTGGCGCAGCCATCTCTGATGTACCAGCTGCCATGTCTAGGCATTCTGACCTCATCTGTAATACTTCTATGCGTGCTTCACTGTTCACATCTGTTCTACATCTTTCATGTTTATGGATGAGAAATTGAGCCTTTGGGAGGCTGTAAGTGATGTAGGACCCATGTTTCATCGCAGCAGCTGATAACTGACAGGGAGCCGAGGACTGCAACTGCAGTTCTTCCGATCACTGTCCCCAAGACTCTTCTCCTTTGGAATTATCGATTCGCATGATCACCTCAGGTCATTGCTTAGCTGGTCAACCTGGTTCTTTCTTAACTGGTATTGTTTTTGAACGTTGTATGCGCTATTGTATGGCAGCTGGGAAGACACAAGGCTTAAATGTAACGAAGACTTCCACTCTGTGTTTGGATCCCCGTTAAACACCTTGGTTAAACTGCTATGGCTGTGGAAAGATGTAGAGGCTCGTGGTACCAGTTTCAGAACTGTGCGTGAGGAAGAGTACGCATGAGACACCAGCTCCATCCTCGTGACGACATGGCTTTCTGCAGGTCTCATGACATGTGTTGCTTGAGGATGCATCTTGGTTGTAGCAGCTTGACTAAAGCCTTTTGGTGAACCAGTGCCTAAGCTAGGATGAGAGTGAAGAAGGCTTTCTTCTGAGTCTTCAGTTTTCATTGAGACTTAGGTGTCATTTGTGTTCGAAATAGTATGTCCATTTCTGGGACTTTCTAAGTAGTTTGTAATGATAGGGATCATGCCTGCTCCCTGTATCCAGGGCAAGGGATTAAAGGCGACTCTCCTTGTGGTTTCAGGTTTTCCGATGGTCCAAAATCGTTGTGCTCATTTAGCAGTCACCATGAATACATATTTTTCTGACACCTCTCAAATTTCTCGTCAAAGTGTTTTATATTTGACTTTAGTTGTTAGTGCTATTGAAGATGTTTCTTTTACAACAGGACATATACACCCACCTCTGCAGACGTCCAGATTATACTATTTTTCCTTTCCTGTGCATGTGTTTAGGCAAACAGGACGCGGACCAACCCTGTTCTCATTGGTCTCGTGCTAGTTACCTAAAGCCACGCATGTAACAAGGGTCCCCCTGCAAGTGTTCTTATCCTGAACGCATGGGTGTGCAGATGAGACTATCACCAATGTCTCTGTCGTAGCAAAGTGAAAAGGGCGAGAGAGACAAAAAGAAAAACTGCGAACAGTGCAAACCAGATGCGTTCGCAAAGTGCATCGTGAACTTCAGAGACTAGTGTGAGAGTTTCCTGAAGTACCAGTACACCCTAGCCCTGCACCCGACAAAAGTAAGGCTCTAGATATGCATCTGGACTGCGTTTTTTGAGTAGCGTCCTTGTGTCCTCTCTCTATGAACTGAGGTTTTCGAAGATACTAGTCCTTGGTCTTGTCTTTTCAGCTGGTGTTTCTCTCTTTCAGCATGATTTTATCTACACTGTGGCTTCAGACATGCTTCATGATTGCAAGAAGTCACAGAAAATCCCTAAACTGCTTCAGCAACGATGATTTTCTAGAAAGAGTCTGATTAGTGCTTGTGTACAGTATAAGAAGATTAGTCTTGGGAAATTAATTATGCTTATTACAGATAATAACGTGTTGGCATGTATGTTAATTAAAAACAATATGTAAATGTGTACAAAAACGCCTACAACATACAAAACTGCAGCATGCCGTCATATATTGACCCAGGTTTGGTGCCAGGATGAGTACTAACAGAAAGGATTTCCCGCTTATTGACTGAAAATTATTGAGAGAATTGCAAAATACAAAAAATCCTGATGAAGCTAGGGGTAAAAAATTCCATATTAAGATATTATTTGATGTGCTTTCTACCTTAATGTCTTCACATATAACAATGCTCATTGTAAAACAAAAGTAAAACACCAAAAACTAAACCAATCACAAAACACAAAAATTAAGAAATATATGCACCTCATCATACTAATAGAATACATATGTAGTCCTATTCCCTAGAGATAGCCCGATGCCATGGTTAGCAGTACTTGCTGTGTTATTATAATCTTCTAGAGCTTGTCTACTTTGCCTGTCTAAATTGTTCCAGCTGCATTCATTTATTAAATGGCTTCTCTTCTGTCTCCAGTGATACCAGACACTGCTTTTTTTTAGCGAGGCAAGGGAAAGCTACACAGATTATGGGTTGGGGAAGTTCTTGCTCTCATGCAGCTTATTGGGTTACTTAAGGAAAGGCTGAACCATTGATACTATTCCGAGAATTAATCAATACCAGTGAAGAAAATGAGCAAGGGTAATAGGCTAAATTGAAAAAAAAAAAAAATGCTGGGAGTGGCTGCATTACAATGGGGATAGTTAGAGAAACCTCGAATGTGGTTTTGATCTGAGACTGAGTGACGAGGAACGACGTAGGCTTGTGAAATTCTGTGAGATATAGTATTCTAGCTAAATGGAATGTCAAGATCCAGGCCCGTTTGACATTGTGTTTTAGGAGTGGAGCTTCTTTTGAAAGGTTTTCTTCCTGCTACAGGGTAGAGGGATTAGGGAGAGTAAATAGAGGTGGGGAGGAGACCAGATGACGTAGGGCCGGGACGGGCCAATATATGAATTTGTTTTTTACTTGGACTCGTGGGAAGGTCCGAGTGGGGCATATTAAATATAGGATGATAATGATCTCATATACCAGAAAGATCACTCTGGTAGGTACGAAATTGAGAGATCCTTTAGAAGTCTGCGGTACGCTGTCACATGAAATCATGTGGCTTAGCAGATGGAAGCATGGAGAAGAAATAGGGTGTGCTTGAGCTGGATTTGGGGGGGAATGTGACATATACTACAAAGGATCAGCAGAGTTGGGATAGAAGCAGGATAACTCAAGGGAGCTTCACGGTCTGTAATTTGAAAACTGGTATGTTATTTACTGGTACAGCATTTACAAAACATGAATTCATAAACGCATAATACTGATTTTCTAACCTGCCATAGAATTAGCTGTTGCTTTAGTGCAAAAACTGGGCAGGAATAGCAGAGTTTAAATTAATTACAAATAAGCAGAGAATAAATTTTAAATAGGCATATGTACTTAAAGGGCATATAGGTGGTTATAAAGCACCTATGATTGCTCTGTCTCGCAAGGATCTTGATCAGCATCCGGTTGGCCTTTGCAGGCGATTACTCGTCTGGATCTCGCTCCTCTCTTGCGTCCTGTGTGTGCTGCTTATCGTGGGTTTATTGCATGGCTCGATCTGCGGCATGTCCTCCGCTCTGCTCTCTCGTTGTCTTCTGGCTGAATGGTTATTTCGCGTGTT